TTTTGTCGGGTTGTTTCTCATTGTAATCAAGCCCTTTAAGTAAACACTTCATACGTTCCTCGTGTTTCTTCCTGGATCTCAGATTCTTGAAGTAATCACTGACACACTGCTCGGGAATGGCCAGCTGATTGGCTAGGTTTTGCCGCTTCTCAATGGAAAGGTATTTGTTACGATGGTAGTAGTCCTCCATTACTGCCTTGGCTTCTGTTGGAATGTAGCGTCTCTTCTTCTTGGATGGATCATCAGATAGACCCTGACAGACAAAGAAAAGTCTTATTAACCTTAACAGTACCAACAAACAAAAATACTTTCAGAGATAGTTAATGTATTTTAACATCAATGCTGTGTAGAAAGCTGTTCCTCTGATTCTTCAAGAAAATTGCTCCTAGTTGAGTAGTTTTTTGTTCTCATCACCTCTCTGTTTGCAAACATAACAATGCTGATGCGAGAGTAACTAATAATAATTATTACAGAGCACCTACAGTGTATATTTAAAAGTCTATAATTAAAAGAAATTTAGCAAGGTCATTCCCAAAGGAGTTTAAGGAGCTGGACAGCTCATCTTTGTCAGCATTCGACTACATTTTCTATACCGTGGATAACCCATGAGAATTGTTTCTTGACCTGAATGGGATCCATCCAAACAGATAATCTTTATAAGGTTGCCCCAAAATCCAGGTGAATGTTTAATTTGACATTTCCCTGAATTGACTCTACATCATAAAAAAATTAGTCAATGCATGACAACCAAGCCCCTTTAAATCTCAACAATATAATATTGAAAGATACTAGATGCACTTGATAAAAGATTACTTGCCGCTAACAAAAATGCTGCACTTACTATCTCTACTTGTCTTCGTTTCATCCTCTCCAACTTCAACTCCTCGCCTTTGTGATAATAAATCCTTAGGCGTTCTGCCTCAGGTTTCTGAAGGAACTGTCTCATGGTTTCAAAATTCAACCACCCTTTGTAGTGCGTGTGGTCTTGTGGACGAAAAAAGCTCTCTCCATGTTTTAGCATTTCTGACAGATACCCCTGAGATTTTCCAAGAACAGCTTTTGCAAAGACCTCCTGGGAAATGTTGTACTTCACGAGCTCAATTTTAACTTGTTCACAGATGCTCTCTGCATCTAAGACATCCCCAGTTGCTCTGATGGGTTCTGCTGCTGGAACTGACTTAATATCTTGTGGAGGTTCTGTGAATTTCTTGCCAGAAGTAATTCTTAAAATGTGATGCAGAACCACGCTTGCCGAGGGTGAATCATCTTGCTTCTCCTCTGGCTCACTGTCACAATCTTGGTCTACTTTTTGAAGCTCAAGATTGCTCATGAACGATTCATCAGTGGTGGAGTTCTGCCATTCTCCATTCACTTCATCCCCTGGGCAAGCAATGAAATGGAATAAGTCATTGTATACTGAATCAGGCTTTGTATTATGTGTAATTTCAACAGATCCATAAAATGTTAATACTTTAAATTCAAGCCTCCTTGCTGATTACAATACCTCAACAAGTAGATTTCTTTACTCACTGTACTTTTATCTTAGTGTTCTTTCAAGTGAGGCCTTAAACTACTTTAAAAAAAGTAATCAATATTCCAAGCTTTCACCGATCCACAGCATCATCAGAGATAGAAAATTTTCCTCAGTACAACTATATGTAATAAGGTGTGATGTAACGAAAAATTATACTGATGACACAATGAGGGTGCGTGAGACACTGTTAAAAAGTATTCATTATGTAATTTCTAAGAAACTGACAGGATAATAATCAAGGCAATAGAACAGAAATTTGCTGTTCGTCACACTTGGGAATTAAAGGGTTATGCAAACTGTGATTTAGATGAGTTTGTCCACAGGTTTGGGTTGTCCGCCCTAACAGACAAGGAGATGTCGACTGATATTTCAGCCCACGATACAGCAACAAGTCAAAAAATGTTTAATTACATGCATTAAAACCAAAATGAGACAATTTCACTTTTAATTATCAACATTGATCAGATTTAGAATTTTACACAAGGAAACTTCTCCAAAATAAGCTTTAAACAGTAGAGCTACTTTAGACAAAAAACAACTTTATACCATCTTCTTACCATCTTCTTAGCATGATACAAAAGATTAAAGATTAGAAGCTTTATTTTTTAAAAGGTGTTTTAGTGGACTCCTTGACATGATTTACATCAAATAATATTTTATGACTTTGAATTAATATGTAAATAACCCTAGCATAACTTGGTAGTTGTTTATTTGTATTTTAACACAAGCCAAAAAATGACCAACTCTTTATCTTACTAAAATAATCAAGCACTGATTCAGTATACAGATGTTCCATTTCATTCACTTGTTCACTTTTAGGGCTGTCAATAAGGGCCGTAACTAATAACACTTGCTACGGCTGAGTATGTTTAATGGGCCCTTGATGTTACAGGTAAACTTGCCTTTAGTTGATACAATTCACTCAAAATGTAACAAGTTTGTTATGGGTGTGAAGATCAAGGCTACAATTGACTCAAAACTTAATGACAGCCCTGCATTTTTACATGTTTGTGTACACATGGTATTTATATTGATATGAACTGTGAAACTGCTTTGCATCCATCAATAGCTGGTGCACAAAACACACCTGGGAGCTGCTCACAACACGTTTCCACTAAGAAGGTTCATAGCTAAATTTACAAGAGGGCAGCAAAGGAGTGGGTTGTAATCCTGTTTCAAGCACAAATTTTATCAAAATTCTTGCATCACAATGGTTTTCTTTCATAAATTCAGGAATCACAAATTGCTTTCATGCTTCGAACATTAATTTTTGCCGTTATCACTTGTCACCCAAAAACTCTTTGGTGCCCTTGTACAAATGGACAAGAAGTACTTGAGCCATTTGTACTGCCAATTCTGCATGAATTTAAATCAATGTCCTTCTAAGCACTACACAGTATGCTGTAAGTATACTTACAAGTGTTCAGTGATGTTTAGTATATACATCTGTAATTACAGTGGATCAGGAATCCTGATTTTTTGAACCTCCAAGGGAAATGAAAATTGGATTGAAAAATCGGAATGTTAGAGAAATGAGGAGTAAAATTACAGTGTTGGCTGAGGAGAGGGAATGACTTTTGGTTAGAGTTATCAGGAGGTTCAAAAAATTGATGGTTTGAGAAATCAGGATTCCACTGTATGTAACTTCCTATATTAAAATACATCTCCCACTCAATATTACATACCTTCCGGTTCATATTCCAAATCAATTCCTCGACTGGGTTCCACAGCTGGTGTCAGGCCAGGAATCACTGTGGGTTCAGGTTTTACTCCTAACAAAATAAAATCCAGATGTTTACCACATGGTAAANCTGGGTTCCACAGCTGGTGTCAGGCCAGGAATCACTGTGGGTTCAGGTTTTACTCCTAACAAAATAAAATCCAGATGTTTACCACATGGTAAAGGAGAAATAAAAAATTATTATCTACTACCAACAAGAAGTTAGTTAGTAATCTCTGTGTCAGGAAACACAAAGGGCTGCAACTCTTACTCTCAAACCAACCTTGTCTTGTGCCACGTCCCTGGCTTCAGCCTAGCCACATGTAGCCTTCCCATCCTGTACTGCCAAAATGAAAGGGTTTACATATGAATGAATTTTATTAAAATAATTATGGCATACCTTCTGCTTCAGCTTGAAGTCCGAGATTAACAACTTGGTGGAGTCGTGCCATTGGAGGGCATGCACTGATGATGTTGACAACTTTGGCCAAGTTGGATGCAATAGCTTCAAATCCATCGTACCTGAGCTGGCTGCAAGAGTAGGATTGAAGTAAATAATGTGCACAACATTATTAATTTGAAACAATATAGCAATGAATCTATTAAGGAGAGATCCAGGAAAAGCAAAAGGAGGAGATCTGAAGTGAAGATCTCCTTGCCCCCCTAGGAGTACAGACTGAGCATGGCCTTTGCATGCACCAATGATGTGAGGGCAGGCTAAAAATATTTCACATACAGGGTAGGAGAAAATCCAGGGCCAACTGCCTGGGGCAAGTAAATTTTGCTCTTGGGCAAGTTTGGTGGTCCGATGGGTAAGTGAAATTAGCCCCAGCAGCCTTGTTAGTGATAATTTCCAATCAAAAACAATTTCAAAACTCAAGGCTGTAAGATGAGCAAAACAATGAGTTGAAAGGATGGATTAATTTAAAACCTTAACATACTGTGTTCTCGTTCTTCCTCTGTTATAGTTTATTACTGATTAGAGACAGTACCTAGTAAATGATGCAGTTGATAGGGCATGAACATTACGTGTGTATTTGGCAAGTACATGTTATATTTTCGTGTGGGCAACTGAAAACTGAAATGTACTGG